TAGAAGTCTAACTATGGTTATTACGTATTCTTACCTTTACCCCTCTGCAAGTGGGCATTCTGTTCCTTTCGGGTTTTTTGTTTTGTTTTGTTTTGTTTTGTTTTGTTTTTTAACACATCTTCTATGTTTCTGTTTATTACTGAAATGTAGCTAGTTCCCAAAGGGGTTGAAATATTTGCTCAGTTAGCTTTCAGGGAGACCATGCCAAACAAAACTAGACCTTAACTTACATTATGCAAATTATTTCCTTGTTTTATTAAAAAAAAAAAAAAAAATTGGTACATTCTTTTGAATACTAGCCAGTAAGTACTTAACTGTTTAATTGTATAACAGATTCATTAAGAAGGATCATGTCTATTTAACTTGCTTTTTTGCAGCATTCAAATAGCAGGTTGACTTTATGGCTGTTCAGTTCTCTTCAACTATTTTCATTTTAAAGATCCCAACCTATGCAAATCCTCACCAATTTCTCTGTGATTAACTCCTTCCATTCAAGCAAAAGCTAATTTTAAAAGCTTTTTAGATACCAGTTTCATCATCTGAACTCCTCAGCTTTTCCATTTCTTTTCCCTTTTCCTGAAGAATTGACCATCAGATCAACACTCAGCACATAAGCCAAACAGCTCTTACATAATCATCCCTTTGGTTTTCTCATGTTCACTCTGACAGCGCTTTCTGCCGTCCTGCCATGACCTCAATGTCACACCCTTCTCCCTTGAGAAGTCATCAGAACCCATGAGGACAGCCTAGTCCCATTTCTGGAGGTCACGGCCGTTGACTATCGAATCATATTAAAGAACTCTCTGTCTCCATTTGAGCTGGCCCTACAGCTATTATTAAAATCATTTCTCGCCGAAACCGGTTTGGCTCAGTGGTAGAGCGTCGGTCTGCGGACTGAAAGGTCCCAGGTTCAATTCCGGTCAGGGGCATGTACATTGGTTGCTGGCACATCCCCGGAGGGGGGTGTGCAGGAGGCAGCTGGTCGATGTTTCTCTCTCATCAGCGTTTCTAGCTCTCTATCCCTCTCTCCTCCTCTCTGTAAAAAAATCAATAAAATATATTAAAATAAAAATTCATTTAAAAAAATAAAATAAAAATAAAATAAAATAAAATCATTTCTCATTGTTAGCCCTTTGATTTCATCGTTCTCATCCGCTAAGCTCCATGCATTGCTTATTTCTGGTTACTAAATTATTTCATACTGACTCAGTGCCTTCTACTAGATTACCTAACCCGGCTAAATAATTCTGTTACTCTTCCCAAGCTTCAAATTTGCTTTATCGAGCTTTCCTACTTCTACACCTTGTACCAAATGGTTCCCAACACCCAGAACTTTCACCTGTCCAATAGGTCACAAAAGTATTCTACCTCAAAGAAATCTATCCAAATTAATGCAGGATCAAAAAGGAAAAAAACAACAACATAGGATTAAGGGTACAGAGAGGAAAGAACAGTCAAAATTAAATGCTCAAAATATAGCTAGAAGTTTTCCTATCACAGTTTAAAAAAAAAAAAAAAGGTATTTTTGCCTTGTTTTGTTTTTACAGAAAGGCATCTAGCCCTGGCTGAGTGGTTCATTGGAGCATTGTCCCATACACCAAAAAGGTTGTGGGTTCAATTTCAGGTCAGGGGACATACCTGGGTTGAGGGTTCAATCCTGGTCTGGCCACAAACTGGAGGCAACAGATCGATATTTCTCTCTCACATCATTGTTTCTCTCTCTCTCTCCCTCTTCCTCTCTCTAAAATCAATAAAACATATCTTCAGGTGAGGATTAAAAAAAAAGAAAGAAAGGTGTCCATTTGGTCTCCCACTGCCAATTCCCACATAGCACAGGTGAGATCTTTTTTCCTGAGATATTTAATATATCACTTGACCCTCAAAATCTAAAAATCAATATGGTGATGTAAAAGGAATCTCCTGAATCTAACTACACTATGGCTTCTGGACAGAGATATAATTCATGAGAAAGTACAACCAGAAGAAAAAAAAAGAAAAGGATGTGGATGTCTTCTGCCCATTTCCTCTGGCGACTCAGGAAATGGAACTATCTATCCCACGGTAGCAATTCTAAAGGATGAAGGTAGGCCCAGTCAGTAACTGGCCCACAAACCTTACGAGGTCTAAGTCTCAAATGGCTCCAAGCACAGCTGAGTTGTAGTCATTTACATACCATATCCTATAATTTTTACCATCGTTCAGCCATTTAAAAGTGCTTGGAAACTGAAATATAAGAAATCCTACCTCACAAATACTGTCCTCCCTAATTAAAAGGCTCACGTCTAAAGTGGAATGGAAATATCTCTTCTTTTTTTTTTCCTGAAATACAGAGCTTACTTTTTATTATTATTAATTTTAGAGAGAGAAAGGGTCGGGGGGAGGAGGAAGACATTGATTTGTTGTTGTACTTATGCATGAATTCAATGGCTGATTTTTCTATGTGTGCTGACCAGATATCAAATCTGAAATCTTGGCGATATCGGGATAATGCTCTGATCAGAGCAATCCAGCTAGTACAGAATTAGCTTCTTTAAAAAACCTTGACTTCTTTTTCTTTTTCTTTTTTTTCAATATTTTTAATTGATTTTTTTTTTTACAAAGAGGAAGGGAGAAAGATAGAGAGTAAGAAACATTGATGAGAGAGAAACATGGATCAGCTGCCTCATGCACAACTCCTACTGGGGATGTGCCCCCAACCAAGGTACATGCCCTTGAACACAATCGAACCTGGGACCTTTCAGTCCGCAGACCGATGCTCTATCCACTAAGTCAAACCAGTGGGCAACCTTGACTTCTTTGGCCTAAACTGGAAGCTGTCTACTTACACTGTATTCAAGCACTCACATAGGTCTCATTTAGCTAATAAGTAGTGATGTAAAACTTTCATAACAAGTTAAAATGGGAGAAAAGTGAAAAAGCAATTGACTGCCATTTCGGTCACTCTGGGTTGCTGTAAAATTGGTGGTCTTAATGGTTTCTAACAAAAACAAAAGCTTGAAAAGTTATTGACATGATTTGGCTACTGACCTACAAAAGCTAGCTGATTCCATAAATCAATCACTCATTTCTAAGATTGACCGCTAACACAAAAGGCTAATGCCATAGAAGTTAGCAATCCTGAAGTTTCTATATATCTAAAAGACGGCCAAATATTTGTAAAGAATTCATTTAAGGCCAAAGAAATCATCTGTGGGTTTAATAAGCCTTCTGTATAATAAATCCTCAATTAGCACAAATAATTTTTCAAAAGAAGCCAGACCGAGAACAAGTGATTTTGTTTTCAGAATCACAATACTCAACTCTACTTTAAAATAATAATTTTAAAAGAATGCTTTATTTGGAAAAAAGATACGGGGTGGGGGGAGGGGGAGAGACAAAAAAACAAGACCATGGATCAGCTAAACATCTACAGTTAAGCCATTTCTACTTATTGAGAAAATGTTGACAGAGTAAATATGGTGTGTGTCCTAGAATTAAGAGTATTCTATAAACAAAGTGCAGTTTATCCTGCCAAGTGCCATCTGTTAGATTTATATCTAGCCCCTATCAAACCAATCAACTGTAACAAGTGGGGAAAAAAAATGTTCATTTAACTAGGGTATTCTGATTAGATTGATAGCAGTACAAAAATAGATTTTTAAAAAAAAGAATACAGGAAACAAACACTTGCCGGAAAGATCAGTTTGTGTCAACTCAATGAATGGCTGGATATCAAAGAAGTTGTCCCATTAGAGAACTCTGTTTTGAAGTTGAGAAACTGCTTTTACACAACAAAAAAAGTAGAGTTCCCTTACTCTATCTTAAACATTGCTAACCTGTATCTTATTAAAAAAAAAACAAAAACAAAAAAAACTACCCAACATTTAATAACTTGCTCCTATAATTGACATGTAATTGACATTCATTTCCTGCAAACAACCGCTAAGAACACAACACCCCCTCTTGAATCCTTATTTAGAAATTATAGCTACAGAAAGCCATGCTACTAAACAGTTATTTTTATTTTTCTGTAATAAAGATTGAGCCCCCCAATCCCTTTATTTTAACTTTAGCAGCAAGGAAATTTACTAATCAATTTATTAATCTTAGCCTTATGCTACTCTTATTTTCTTGGGTACTGGTTTTGTAATTCTTTTTTTGAAACCAATATTTCTTGTAGGCGTTTTTATAAACTGACTCAACACACTGTATAAAAAGACAGTGTACATAAGAAAAAGAAAACATTTCCTTACTGTTTTTCTCTGGTATTTAAAAATCTGAAATACCTAAATTTAGAAACTAGATAGAGTTCCTCAGCATTTCAAATGAGTAGAAATTATTACTCAGAACTTATACAAAAATATACTTTCATATTTTTACCCCCAACCCATTCTTCTACTCCTAGAAAGAATTCAATTTTAAAAATGCAAACACAATTCTGGGACCTACTAAAATATGCACTTCACTCTTTGTATAATTAAACTGAAAATAAAAGCCTCCGGAAACTTAAGGTGCAGAAAGGATGCCAATGTGTCAAAGTTTCTTTTTGTTGCTGCTGTTGTTGTTTAATTTTGAGAGAGAAAGAGAAGCATCGATTTGTTGTTCCACTTATGGTACTTACGTGCTCACTGGTTGATTCTTATATGTGCCCTGTCCGGGGATCGAACCTGCAAACTAGGTGAATCAGAACAACGCTCTAACTGACTGAGCTACCCTGGCCAGGGCTCAAAGTTTTAAAATCTTTTTAAGAAAAGGGAAAGAAAGAAAGGAAGTTTATGTGTCAGAGTTTAAAAGAAAAACAAAGCTTTCTTTGTAAGAAAAGTGAGAGGGGGAAAAAAAAACCCGATTTGCCACCTGTCAGGGTATAACGTCTCTTCTAGGTTTTAAGATTAAGCGTGGCTCGCCATCCTCAGCTACCCCATCCCCACCATTTACTCAGAGCACTTCTCATTCCCAGGGCCTTTCCTGTCTCCTCTCCTGGAGCAGGCGACCGGCGAGCAGGCCACGGTACACGGCCTTACCTTCCATCGGCGATGACTAGGACAGCCACGGCACCGAGGTCTTCCTCAGGAGCTGGCCACCTCCTTCCCTCGCTGGCACATCTTCTCCCAGGTCTACCTTCCCCAAACTGCTCTTTCCCTCAAGAGCGCTCCCCGGAACACAGGGCTGCAGAGAGGGTTCAAGTGCGCAGACCCAGTAGCAGAGACTACACGCAGATCCAATAAACGACGGGCACACAGTGTTATGTTACTCAATCATCTTGGCATCAGACTGAAACAGTGACCTAGCTCACCACCTTTACTCCCTACAATCAACTCTCTCCTCTACCCTTTGGTCAGGGCTGCGCACTTTTCTTTTATTCAAATGCCAGTTTAAAAAAAAAAGAAAGAAAGAAAGAAAAGGAAAACAAGGAGCCATTTTCTGAACCGCTCTAAATCCAACCTGCAGTTCAAGCTAAAACCACTCTCGCCGGGACCGGTTTGGCTCAATGGATAGAGCGTCGGCTTGGGGACTGAAGGGCCCCGGGTTCGATTTCAGTCAAGGGCATGTACCTTGGTTGCGGGCATATCCCCAGTAGGGGGTGTGCAAGAGGCAGCTGATCGATGACTCTCTCTCATTGATGTTTCTAACTATCTCTCTCCTTTCCTTTCTGTACAAAATCAATAAAATATAAAAAAAATTAAAAAAATAAATAAATAAAATAAAACTACTCTCAAAGCCACCACGAAGCAACACAGTTGTCACTAATGGTCTTGGCTCATAAAAATGTCCTGACTATACCCTTCTTTCATATTTCATCTGAAACTCTGCTTCTAATGTCCACTGACAAAGCTTATTATTTACTAGAGGCCCAGGTGCATGAAATCTGTGCATTACTGGGGGATGAGGGAGAGGGCCCTCAGCTTGGCATGTGCCCTCCTGCCACAGCTGAGCTCACCAGCCATAAGCCTGGCTTGTAACTGAGCAGCATTCCCCCTGTGGAAACACACTGGCCACCAGGGGCAGCTCCAGAGTTGAGCATCTGCCCACTGGTGGTCAGTGCGCATCATAGCGACCAACTGTTCCATTGTTAGGTTGATTTGCATATTAGCCTTTTATTATATAGGATTGTTTTGCCTCCCCTCCTCACAGAAGCATTGTATTCAATGAAAAAACAAACTTAAAAAAAAAAAGTTAATATTAAACAAAAATTGTTTATTGTAGAAATCCACCATCCAAGATAATCGCTGGTCACATACTGTTATATATGATGATATAACTGTATTTTTCTATACATATACTAGAGGTCCCATGCATGAAATTCATGCACTGGGGGTGGGGTGGTGTCCCTCAGCCTGTCCTGGACCCTCTCGCAATCCGGGACTCCTTGGATAGGGTCCTTTAGGCCTGACCAGAAATCAGTGCCTAGTGGGGCTTTCCTTCCCCTGGCTGCCAGCAGCTGACCCCACCCTTGCCACTGCACTGCTTGCCATCTGTGTGGCACTGCTCCCCCGCCCTTGCCACCAGTTGCCTCCCTCTACAGGTAATAGGCATAGGGTGTGATCGCTTGGCTGGCCTAGACCTCCCCACTGGCTGCTGCACAAGGTGAGAAGGGGGCACCGCCTCAGGAGAAGCCCGAGGTGGTGAAGAGGCAGCTGCAGGACATGATCATCCTGCCAGGATGGTGGGCGGCATGGTGGGCCTATACAATGGCAAGGCCTTCAGCCAGGTGGAAATGAAGATGATTGGCCATTACTGGGGTGAGTTCTCCATCACCACTGGCTGGGCCAGGCATCAGAGCCACCCACTCCTCCCGCTTCATCCCTCTCACGTGGCCAATAAAAGCACAGACTTAATCCAAAAAATAAAGTAATAAATAAAAAACATCACTCTAAAAAAGCATTTTAATGGCAGTATTACTTCAAGTGGATTACTATGTTTTAATAAATCATGTCCCTATAGCAGGGCATTTTCTTGACTAAATTACATCGCAATGAAAATGAACGTCTTTGTGCATAATACTTTCCATATCTGGAATTATTTCCTTAGGGTAAATTTAGAAAAGTTAGTTCCAATATAAGTTCTTAAGATGCACAGCTCAAAATAGGACTCAATGGAACATAAATATATAACACGTAATGAGTTTTAAAAGCCATTCTATATTAGCAAATTTGGATTCTAGCATTCATGTTTACGATACATAAAACCTAATTTACAAAACTAATTAGCAAAGCTTCAACATCTCAGAAATACATTAAAAAGAAATCTGATTGAGAAATTGAAATCATTCTACCTTTCATGAGTGTTTCGCAGCTTCCCTTGCCACTTATCAAAACCATACCCTGAGTTTTTCATTCACAGATGGGTTCCACAACCGAGTTCTGTGAAGTCACAGTACTGTAACAGTATAATCGTTCTCTGGCAACAGACTGACATCATTAAATTCCTATTTGTAAGTTCTCTGGGGTGTGCAGATGTTCTATTGTTACTTCTTCTAAAGATCAAAATCTATTTCTGTTGCCTCTCCATTCTCATATGAATGATACATTTTAATCTAACTTATTCCCTCTGTCCCCAGCCATCTTTATAAAACTACTTTTTGGTAAGAGGACAGAGAATGCCTTTGTGTTCAAACAAAATATAAATGACAGATTGCCTTCTCCTTTAATCTGTTATTGCTTTGTATTTCTGGGAAGGAGAAACACAAAACCAAAAGGTTTAATATTATTTTTATTAACTTTACTACTATTCTAATTATAAAAACCCAGGGTCCATAACATCCAAAATGACTAAAGGCTCAATCCAACACCAGCAGTCAGTCCTTCAGTCAGTGTTGGGTTGGTGTGGTGGCCCAGCACTGACTGCTGCCACTGCGGCCACAGTGGGGGCTGCGGATCAGGCCCAGAGAGAGAGGCAGGGTCTGATCTGCAGCCTCCATGGCAGCTGTTGATCAGCACTTGCCTCTCTCTTTCTCCCTGGGCCTCCACCAAGGCTGCTGATTAGCCCCACCTCTTTGATCAGGCCTGGTGATAGGCCCAGAGACACTGACTGAAACCGACCAATCAGAACCAAATCTGGGTCAAGTGTGAGGAGCCAATGGCTGCATAGAAGGCGGAGCTTTTGACACTGAATGGCATAGAAACCAACCAATCAGAATCTAATCTGGATGAACTGCAAAGGCAGAACCTAAGGTGGGGGCTGATGAAGTGTTTTAAGGGCAACAGCAGTTTGGTGTAAGGTGTAAGAAAGCAGTTCAATTTTTTAATGACTGATTTGGCAGTATAGTACATATGGCTGGCTATCAGTCCAGATATAGGCATTATATATTTTTGTCTGTCAAGAGCATCTCCTCCTGTTGAAAAAGCCCGCGCGAACCCCCCCCCCATTTAAGCAATCCTATATATATAATCTACCTATACTAATAAAAGAGTAATATGCTATAATAATTAGACCAGGTCAACTGGTCATCTTCCTGATGTCTGACTTCCTTCCGGACAAAGCCATGGTGGTGGGGGCTGAAGCAGAGGCAGTTAGGGGTGATCAAGCCAGCAGGGGAGGGCAAGTGGGGGTGAGATCAGGCTGGCAGGGAAGGGCAGTAAGAGGTGATCAGGAAGGCAGAGGCAGGGCAATCAGGCCGGCAGGGGAGAACAATTGGGGGTGAGATCAGGCCAATTGGAGAGGGTATAGGCTGGGCTAAGGGAACCCTCCCCCGCCCCCTTGACATCCCCTGTGCACCAATTTTGTGCACCAGGCCACAAAATTGCTAAGTTATCTTTTAAATAATTGAATGTGGTTCTATCACATGATTTCAACTAAAAAAAAAAAAAGATTTCTAATAAAACCTTTTCCTTTTTTCAAAAGCAACATCAAGGTCATTTTTGTTACTATGTAACAGTTCTCATATTAAGGGTATTTATCCTCCATCAACAAAGATTTGTGTAGTCCCACTGGGTACCAGGCACTTGGCTAAATGCCAGAGATTCAAGGGGACAAGACAAAGGCAAGGTCTGCTCTCATAGATCTTTCAGTCTCAGTGCAAAGGCTGAAAGGGGAAAGGCAAACAAGGAATCTTTATGAAATGGAAGGGTCCAGAACTAAAAGTAGTGGAATGATTCTTTAGAAAAATGCAATAGATTAAAACCAGTTTTGGAATACCTGTAACACCGGGCCACGAAATTTGAAGTTTATATTTCAAAGATGCAATTCAATGGCATCTGCAGAAAATATAAACCTAACCAGGCCCTGATTAAAACTTTTCAATGCCCTCTCTCCCACTCTACAATAAAGCCAAGGTCTGTCATAAGGTTAACTAAACCCTGAATAATCATCACCACCCACCCGAGACCTTCAGCTGTGGTCACGCTGGGCTTCTGTTTCCTCTGTGTAGGGACTTTCTAACTAGATCCCACATCTAATAAGTGTCTGTGTGTGACACACTCTTATTTTCTATTTAATTTCTTTTTCAAAACATATAGGTCACGCCCACTAAACTGATTTTACAATCTACTGGTAGGTGCCTAGTTTGAAAAATACTCCTTTAGTAAAGGACACTCTCACATGTCTTAGCTTTTCCACATGTTCCTTTTGCCTGAAACTCTTGTGCTCATCTTCACTCTTCCCCTTTACCTGGCTCCTTTGTATTCCACTTTATGATCTTTGTTCTTACACATCACCCCCCTGACCCTCTTAGATATGCGTAGTTCCTCCTTCTCTGTGATCTCAAAGTTCTCCATTCACTATGCTTTACTGCAACTGTACTTGTCCTTCCAGGCTGTAAACTCCATGAAAGCAAGGAGTTGGTCCACAAGTGAATTCCAAGGGCCTAGTCTAGTGCCTGTTGCTTATTAGATACTCAACATATATTGGAGGAATAAAATATATAAGCTATCTTGAACCACACAATGAAATGATCACCCATTTAAAAACTGTTATTTCGCCCTAACCCATTTGGCTCTATGGATAGAGCATTGGCCTGTGGGCTGAAGGGTCCCAGGTTCGATTCCGGTTGGGGTCGTGTTGTGGGCACAACCCCAGTAGGAGGTGTGCGGGAGGCAGCTGGTTGATGTTTCTCTCTCATCGATGTTTCTAACTCTCTATCCCTCTCCCTTCCTCTCTGTGAAAAATCAATTAAAAAAATATATATATATATATATATATATATATATATATTATAAACTGTTATTTCCATGGAAAACATAGTCTTAGTTCCAATTTTATAAATGGTGAGTAAAGCCCTGGCCAGGTAACTCCATCAGAACATTGT